TTAGCTGGACTAGCTGCTTCTGCTCCAAACCACCAGTTTGCAGCAGCAACTCTCTTTAGTGTGGAAGATGTGACTGAGTGAAAAAAATTCAAAGTGTTTGTCAAGTGTCCTATAATTTCATGGCTTCCTACACTTGAAAAGGAGGACTTGAAGACTTCAGGAATTCACTCAATCTTTTTTATTTTCACCAATGAGTGAGAACCAATGAACAGAACAGGTGAAAAACCTACAAAACACATACAAAATATTTTAACATACATTTTAGACATTTGGGTCAAAGTTAATAATTTATCTTAATGACTAATTCCATTTTTAACCTTAAACATACATTTCTCTTACAATTTTAACCATAAATTCACAGTATTAAATTATTAAATTTCATGTCTGGTTGAATTTGAATCAAACAAATCCACACATTTTAGAATTACATTTTTTTCTTTTCCTTAGGACATGAGGTTTTTCCATTAAATATTAGTTGCTGTGAGTTTAACATACATTTAGTGGAACCAAACTATAAAACTAGCAATGCAAACTGTTACTTCAATAAATTCTTCATTTCATTTCTCAAATGCAAAACTACAGTCAAATTACATTCAATTAAGCCCAGTTAGTGGCTTACCGGTAGTCCTTATAAGTCCTTTTCCATGAAATGCTGCTTTGGAGGCTGTGTTTGCCTTCCTCAGCTCTGTTGCAAAACCAGTAAAGTGGTTAGTGGATTCCTTATATACCTGAGTTGAGGGTGCTGCTGATTGGGCCAGATTTCTTTCACCTGCTGAGAAGTGCTGCAGAGTGGCATACTAATGTGTGTATGTGTGTGTGCACACACAAATGTCTATTCATGCACCCACATCTGAACTAATGAGCAGATCTGCGCAACACCTCCCACTCGATCTTGCAAGGTTTTACCTGGGAAGATCGCATTTTTTAAGCGAGCTGGTTCCCTCTACTTGGTCTTCTGCTGGGATGAGCACTACAAGGCGCCGGACGTCCCGATGGAGTATGGTGCCCTGAACCTCCTTCACCAATCCAGAACATTTCACAGGAGGTTTTGGTGTATTTCCCGAACTATACCCACTTGGAGACACTTTCACATAAACATCCCGGACTATGCCCTTGCAATCAGGATTCACAGCAACAACTCTACCCATCTTGAATTGCCCCCTTAGTGCGTTTTGGTCGCAGAGCCAGACCACATCGCCCATAGCAACATTTCTTTCAGCAGTATGCCACTTGCCACGAACAAACAAGTTGGGACCTGCAAGTTGACTCCAGGACCTCCAAAAGTAGTCAACTTGAGTTTGTATTTCTCGGAGCCTTTTAAAGGGATAAGTGGTATAGTCAAATGTCTTGAAATCTCCACTTTGTGTAGCTCGACCGAGCAACAGGGTGTTTGGAGTGATGTACTGGATTCGATCTTCATGGCTCTGTACTCTAGCATCAATAGGTCTTTCGTTGGCTAGATTGGCAGCTAGCTTAACCGTCGTAAGAAACTCACTGAAGGTAAGGCCTTCCACTCTGCCAAGACTTTGGAACGCTCTTTTAATGATCTTGACAGCAGCTTCAGCTGCGCCGTTGCGATGTGGTGAATCGGCTGGAAGAATTTTCCATGTCCAATGAGTCCCATTTTTTGCAGCATACTCTTCAAGTGAGAATTTGTCTTGCTGTCTCAGGTAAGCATACATTTCTTGCAGAATGGGTTTTGCCCCAATAAAATTCGTACCTGGGTCAGACCACACCTTCTGGGGATGACCTCTGATGGACGTAAACCTCTGGTAGGCAAGTATGAAGCTCTCTGTAGATAGTGTGTTTGCCAGTTCAACATGAATGGCTCTACTTGACATACAGCAGAACAACACACCCCAAACTTTCATGCTTACTCTTTTCTTGACGTCATCTTTCACCTGGTAAGGGCCAAACAAATCAACAGATATGAACTGAAATGGTGCACTTGGACTAGACCTTTCTTCAGGCAGATCCCCCATTATTTGCTGACAGGTTTTCGCTCTCACCTTTTTGCACAATACACACTCATCGACAACTTTTCTGGCAATGACTCGTCCTCTGATGACCCATGCTTTCTTCCGCATACGCAACAAAGTCCCTGCCACTCCATCATGTCCTTCACTGTGTGCTGCTCGGGCTAGAAGAGTAGAGATCCAAGATTGGAAAGGCAACAGAGGAACGGCTCTGTGGTCCTCCTTAAAAGTCTGAACTCTGCCACCACACATCAAGAGCCCGCTTTTTCCATCTTTGTAGACAACCAGTCTATCAGTCGTTGTGGTTGGAAATTGTACACCTTCTTGTGCTGCCAGGCATAGATCTCTGAACACATCTTCTCTTTCGCCAACTGTAATGACACCAGATAAAGGGACCACCTCCCACTTTTCTTTATCTGTGACCTTGACATGCAGGAACTTTTTTGCTGCTCTCCAAATCCATGCAACTACTCCCATCAGCTTTCTCAAACTGCTGAAGTCCCTCACGTCCACTAGTTGCTGGACTACCGCAGCTGCAGGTGGCCTCCTAGAGATGATCAGTTTATGCTGGACTCTAATTGGATTTTGTTCTTTCCGCTGACTTCGGGTAAGTACAGCAACAAATGTTTTCTTCTGTATTTTTATAACATTGTCTCTTGCTTGCACGGCAACATCATTTGCAGATTTCTTTGGCCACTCACTATCAGGAAGTTGAAGGAAACTTGCACCCAACTGCCACTCTGAGTCTTCGGTTAAGTAAGCAGGACTTGCTCCTCTGGTGATAATATCTGCAACATTTGCTGATCCTGGAATCCACCACCAGTCTTGGACATTAGTGCTGCTCTGGATCTCTCCAACCCGGTTAGCAAAGAAGGTCTGATATCCATAACTCTCTCGCTGTATTGCACCCAAGACAGTTTGACTGTCAACGAGATGGAACCACTTCTCAACTTTGATTCGGCAATGTTTCTGGAAATAGGTCTTTAGCCGGGCTGCAAAGACTGCTCCGCATATCTCCGCTTTCACGGGGTCACCATTGCGGTTAAGAGGAGTCAGCTTGGCCTTAGACTCAACCAACCTCACACTGACACCATCAGTACATTCCCAACGCAGGTACAACACAGCACCATATGCATGCTCACTGCCATCAGAAAAAGTGATGCCAATTGGACCTGCATGTGGGTCTGGTGGTGTCAGGGATCTGANAGTTCTATTATTCGTCTAGGTTGACCATTTCTCACTGGTGGAATTGCTTGTAATTCTTCAATAATCTCAAGAGCAATGGTAGCTTTATTCCCAAAACGATTGTCCAGGACTCTGAAGATCTCATCTGATGAATTGTATGTTGACAGGCGTAAATCCTTAGCCAATTTCTCATCGAGACTATCAAGCAATTGAAACTTCTTTACTTCTTTCGAACCAGATGGTTCACCTTGCTTCTGGAGAGCCTCCCATTCTTTTCTCCATCTGTAATAGTCTCGTTTACTTCCACCAAACTTTGGTAAAGCTGTGGCTTTCAGTTTTATTGCAGCTATTGGAGGTAGACTATGGACTAAGGCTTTTTCCTCTGTTGTGTCCTTCTTCCTTGCTGCTTCGATAAAGACAGCCTTCTGAGAAACCATCCTAGGGAGGCACACCTCTAGCTCCCTTACACGGTAGTTGAAATCCTTTTTCTCGGCAGGTGGGGCCCAATGGTTCCAATTTTGGTGTGCTTCCTTTGCCTTCTGGATCAATTTCTCCAAATGGGTGAGCATAAACTCATATGCCTCCAGAGTTATGTCTGGCCCGATGGAAGAAACATTCTTGCACTCATCCTCTGCAACTTGTAGAGCCAGGGACAATTCCTTCTCTCCATATGTGGCCCACATTGTCTCTCGGATAAGGAGTTTAGCTTCTTTAAGCTTTTGTTCACATTCTTTCTCCGTCTTCTCTATGTCAGCTTTCTGAAGATTACTCAGCTCCTCAGCTGCAGTTGCTTTGCACTCAGCCATATAAGCAGCCTCCACATCCTCATTTGCCTCCATAACTTTGGAGCTCTCCAGTGTAAGCTTCTTGTAGTTCTCCTCCAGATCCTCCTTAGACATCTCCATGTAGGTCCTCATAATGTTATTTGCAAAACGGGAGAAAAGTCTTTTAACTGTTGTCCTCTCTGCTTTGAGGTCATCAAGGGACTTTAATTCAGCCATTTTCCTCCTTTGGAAGACAGCAGATTTCAGTCTCTGGTTGCAGAATGGAACCTCCTCTGATTGGAGCGGTTTTTCACTGTCAAGTGTCCTATAATTTCATGGCTTCCTACACTTGAAAAGGAGGACTTGAAGACTTCAGGAATTCACTCAATCTTTTTTATTTTCACCAATGAGTGAGAACCAATGAACAGAACAGGTGAAAAACCTACAAAACACATACAAAATATTTTAACATACATTTTAGACATTTGATTCAAAGTTAATAATTTATCTTAATGACTAATTCCATTTTTAACCTTAGACATACATTTCTTTTACAATTTTAACCATAAATTCAAGTATTAAATTATTAAATTCCATGTCTGGTTGAATCAAACAAATCCAAACATTTTAGAATTACATTTTTTTTTCTTTTTCTTAGGACATAAGTTTTTACATTAGATATCTTAACATACATTTAGTGGAACCAAACTATAAAACTAGCAGTGCAAACTGTTACTTCAATAAATTCTTCATTTCATTTCTCAAATGTGAAACTACAGTCAAATTACATTCAATTGAGCCCAGTTAGTGGCTTACCGGTAGTCCTTATAAGTCCTTTTCCATGAAATGCTGCTTTGGAGGCTGTGTTTGCCTTCCTCAGCTCTGTTGCAAAAACCAGTAAAGTGGTTGGTGGATTCCTTATATACCTGAGTTGAGGGTGCTGCTGATTGGGCCAGATTTCTTTCACCTGCTGAGAAGTGCTGCAGAGTGGCATACTAATGTGTGTGTGTGCACACACAAATGTCTATTCATGCACCCACATCTGAACTAATGAGCAGATCTGCGCAACACTGTTTTTAAAACACCATTAACAAAAGCAGCGTAACTATATATTGTATATTTTG